AAAAGATAGGTGTGAAAGATGCGGTGAAGAACATAATAAATCAAATTGTTCCAATCCTAACAATCTATTTTGTGTATTGTGCAAAGGAAAACATAGCCCTACTGACAAGGGAGCAAATTGTACGGAAAGGGAAAAACAGGAGTATATTAAAAAGATTATGAATACTGAAAATATAACATATTACGAAGCTAATAATAAATATAGAAAATATTATTCAACAGTAAGTAAAGAACAAGAAAGTACTTCCAATAAGTATACAATCTATAAACGAAAACGATCAAATAGTATTAATTCTAGTAACGTAGACAGAGAGATAATGGAAGCGCACAGAAAAATCTTGCAAACTCCAAAAGTACAAAGTCAGCCTTGTTATAATTTTAACAGCCCTATTTATCATAATAAAACACAAATACAAAACGATAATCAAAGTAATATAGGAGAAATCATAGTAAACTTTATTTCAACAACTTTAAATCAGATTAATCACAATTTAGATGAAAAAACGTTAGAATTACTGAAAAACAATATTTTACAATTATTAGTAAATCGTGATGGCTAGCATATCATTTCTTCAATGGAATGCAAGGTCAATTAAAACAAATAAGGGTTATTTAGAAAAAATTTTATATGACAATAAAATAGATATAGGACTAATATCAGAAACATGGTTAAAGAAAAGTAGCTTTATTAACTTTACTGGTTATAATATCTTTAGGAATGATAGGGATGATGGATATGGTGGTGTGGCCATACTATTGAAAAAAAAAATTAATTTTGATAATACTCCTACTTTTCATCCAATCAATGACGTAATGTGTAAAAGCATATCAATAAAAATTAAAACCGGTAAAAAGATTAACATTTATTCTATTTATGTAAAACCAAATCTCAAAATTACGGTAAATGAATGGAAAAAGTTTTTTAATAGTATGGAGAAACCTTTTATAATTGGTGGTGATTTTAATAGCCACAATTATGTTTGGGGTTGTAGTACTGTAGACACTATAGGAAAAAATCTGTTAGAAGCTATTGAGGACTGTAATCTCGTACTTTTAAATAACGGCAAAGAAACTTTGATGCGTAGACCTAATAGTATTAATAAATCGGCCATAGACCTTACAATATGCTCAGCAAATATTAGTCATTGTTTCGATTGGGATGTTGTGGACAATACTTTAGGATCAAATCATTTTGCTATTGTTATAAAGTCAAATATTAATGTTAATAAAGCGGAATGTGTAAACACAAAATTCCAATGGAATATAAATAAAGCGGACTGGTCTCTTTTCTCTTCTATCACTGATAATTTCATGGAATGCGATAATAATTTAGATTACCAACAATGTTTAAATAAATTAAACGAATATTGTAAAATATGCATACCGGAGAAAAGAACAGGGACTAGTCCACGATTTAGGAAAACTTGGTGGAATGACAATTGTAAAAAGGTTATTCAAGCACAACAACTTGCTTTACGCAAGTTTAAGTTACAGTCCAATATACAAAATTATATAATTTATAATAAGTGTGTAGCAGAAACGAAAAAAGTTATATTAAAAAGTAAGCGTAATGCATGGAAAATTTTTTGTGAAAATTTAAACAAAAATACACCAATAAAAAATATGTGGAATCAAGTCAAACGTTTACAAAACATCTTTAAACCACAAATAAATCCAGTGACCGAAGGAGAATGGGTTGAGGAGTTTTTGAGAAAATTATGTCCAGATAATATATTTTCAAAAATTAATGTAATGGAAAGTAAAAACTCTAATCATCCACTTTCAGTGCCATTTAGTTTAGACGAATTAGAAATAAGTCTTAAGAACAAGAAAAACACGTCTCCGGGAATAGATAATATACATTATATTATGTTGGCAAATTTACATCAAAAAGGAAAAGAAACACTATTAAAAATTTTTAATCAAATATGGCAATCAGAAGATATTCCAGATAGTTGGAGAGAGTACCGGGTGATTCCCATACTTAAAGCAAATCGAAATTCTGATTCGGCAGAATCTTATAGAGGTATTTCATTAAGCTCCTGCATAACAAAAACACTGGAAAGAATGATAAAACTTAGGCTCGAAAGATGGTTGGAAAAAAATAATAAACTATCACAAACACAATTTGGATTTCGTAGAAATCATTCTACTGTGGAAGCAGTGAGCCATTTGGTAACAGATATAAATTTAGCGTTTACGTCAAATTCTTCAGTAACAGCTCTTTTATTAGATGTGGAATCAGCATACGACAACGTTAATTTAATTATACTGTACAACAAAATGACACAAATAGGTCTTCCCGAATGTTTCTGTCAAAAAATTATAAAACTATATGACTGTCGAAAAATTTATATATCGGTAAATTGTAACACAATTGGTCCAAGGCTAGCGATGGATGGTTTACCTCAAGGAGGAATATTAAGCCCATTGTTATATTTAATTTACACTGCTGATCTAGTAAAAAATTTAAACTCCACAAGAATTTTACAATTTGCAGATGATATAGTCATTTATCAAGAACACATTAAAATAGAAAATGCAGTCAAATCCATTGAAGAAGGAGTCAATCATATTAAAACATGGTGTGATTTACATGGACTAAATATCTCTGATTCGAAAACTAAATTATGTATTTTTTCAAGAAAACGAAAAGAGATACCCAACTACATCTTAATAAACAATGTCTCCTATCCAGTGCAAAAATATGTTAAATATTTGGGCATTACTCTTGATAGACAGCTTCTCTGGAAAGAACATATAGACAATATAGTTAAAAAAACAGAAAAGGGAATAAATCTTCTTCGTTTCGTGTCACACTTACGATGGGGAGCAGATCCAAATATTTCTTTGTTATTATTTAAAAATAATATAAGAGCTATAATCGACTATGGATCAATATTATACAGTGACGCATCACAATGTCATTTAAACAAAATAGACAAAATCGTTAATAAATGCCTTAGATTGTGTATAGGAGCCCTAAGAAGTACACCCATTAGTAACCTACAAGTCGAATGCTGTGAAATGCCAATGGATATAAGACGAAAAAAACTTGGCATCAGACTTTTAGTAAGATTGTACGAGAAAAAGTCAAGTTTAATATTCAAAATACACCAACTGTTCTTAGCAGACTTAACAGAAAAATATTGGATAAAAAAGAAAACTCTAAGTATAGTAGATTTATATTCAAAAATGACAATATATGATAAACAACTATATAAATATGACATAAACCCAAATTACAATATTGACTTTAATACTCTAGAACAAGTTCAGGTATACTTCTTAAGGGACTACAGCAATTTACCTTTATCTTTAAGAAAATTAATGTTTATATCTGACAGTTCACAATTATTCAAAGATTATTATATACTATATACAGATGCATCCAAAAGTATCGAAGGTGTGGGATGTGCATACTGGGATGACAATAATAAAAACAGTAAAATGTTTAAACTCAATTCCATCATGAGTATATACACAGCTGAATTAATAGCGATAGTGGAAGCACTAAAATATTTATCTAATATAGATCATTCAAAGTTTATAATTTATAGTGACAGCAAAAGTGCTGTAAGTAAAATTAGTGCTATAAATCCTAAATCAAAAGTAAATTACGTTGAGTTATATATAATAAATAAAATTATAGAACTTCAGCAACAAGGCAAAACTGTTAAGTTGGCATGGATTAAAAGCCATTGTGGAATCACTGGAAATGAGATAGTAGATGAATTGGCAAAAAATGCTGTGACACAAGGAGTATTAACTGATTATCTTTGCACGTCTAGAGATATAGAATCAGACACGTTCAAAGAGCTTAAGAAGGAATGGAAAGAAAGGTATATTAATGAAAATATAAATACAGGAAAGCATTACAGAGCAATCAGAAACCATATTACGGATAAATCTTGGTTTGCTAAAATGGAGTCGACAAAGGATATGACAAGAACTATATGCAGAATGAGATTTAACCACTGTCTTACACCATCATATATGTTTAAAATGAATCTAGCTGATAGTCCACAATGTACTTGTGGTCAGATGGGTAACCTACAACATAAAATTTTAGACTGTTCTCTTATTTCCAATAAAGTTAATAATTTTTTAAATTCGCTATATTCTTTGACCGATGTCCACCATCCCATTAATTTAAGTTATTTATTAACATTAGAAAACAATGAATTTCTATATAGATTATTGTATAAACATGTTTTAGATATTAAACTCAAATTGTAATTGTAAATATAGAGTAAGTATTTCTTTGTAATTTGTTAGAAAAAAAAAAGAAAAAAAAAGAAAAAAAAAATAAAAAAATAATAATAAAAAAAAGAAAATAAAAAAAAAATAAAAAAAAAATTAAAGAAACAAATAAAAAAAAATTAAAGAAACAAAAAAAAAAAAAAAAAAACTAAGAAACAAAAAAAAATACAAAAAAAATACAAATAAAAAAAAAAGAAAAATTGAGGAAATTGGACAGTCCACAGTAAAGTAGCTATTGAATTAAGTAGATAGCTGCAGAAAAGTTTACTGTGGAACTCTAAGGACCTCATCACTTATTATACTTATTATACTTATATATAAATAACTAAAAAACAATTAATAGGAAAAAATGACTATATATTAGGGATCAATAGTAGGACTAGTAATAGTAGGATTAGTATTAGTAGGAATTTAGTATAAGATTGTATAGGAAACAATGACTAATGAAAAAATGAGTACAAATTGTAAGATTGGCGAATGGATTTAGTGTCCGCAGTCATTTAAACACAAACAAACAACAACAACAAACTGAATTTAGTACTGACTAATCAGGCATTATAACGGTATGTCACTTTTTAAAATCGAATCAAAATTAATGTAATGTAATGAGAAAAACTATTCATTTTTGTTTAAATTCGAGAGGCACATGGAATTTACAGCATTTGTCGTTGCTACGGAGCAATAGACACTCCTGTACTGACTCTTGTGTCATTGTCATTAAACGTCAAGCAAATCAAATATTAATCATGTGGTCATAAGTCATAATATACGTTTCAGTTTCAAACATTTAAAATTCTAGTAGGTCAAAAATACATTCACATTTACATATATTTTTTGTTTTAAAATGGTACTTAGTAGATGGAGGACAACACATAAAATTCTTTTAAGACATATTTGCGAAACAAAACGAAGGCAAACAACTGCAGGAATTTTAGGTTAGTTAAACTGTAGTTTTTCATGTTGACTATATAACTAAAAACAAAAGTTACATAAACTTTATGTTAATTGAATATATCTATAATACCTAAACAATTCGTTTGGTTTTTAGTCATTGGAGATGAGATACTTAAAGGACAAACAGCAGACACCAACTCTAGGTACCTGTCAAAGGAAATTTACAAAGCAGGAGTACATGTTAAAAAGGTTTGATGCAGCATTTTACTTTGTCCCTTTATATAGGCAGTTGATGCTTACAGATCTCGGTTATAGGTGATATTGTAGAAGATGTTTCCCGCGAAGTCAAGGAGTTTTCCAATTCTTTCGATTATGTCATCACTACAGGTGGAATTGGACCTACACATGATGACATTACTTTTGAAGGTCAGTTTTGTTGTTTTTAAAATCACTATGAGCTCTACGAACCTGAAATTTAATATCAGTTTTATATTTAATTAAAATAATATTTTTTGATAGTTACAACTTTTGTCTAGCCGTAGCAAAAGCTTTCAATGAAGAGTTAATTCTGGATCCAACCTTGAAGGAATTGTGTCTAAAGTTTTATAAAACTAATGATGTAAATATTCCTGGAATGAAAATGGCTTATGTGAGTATATTTTGAGTAATGGTTATCTATATACGAGAGTAGTTGAACATAATGTAGCCTAATTAAGAAAACATACAAGTTTTGTATAAAGAAGTACACAGTTGTAGAGAAATCATCAGATTTTATTTAACTAATCAAGAGAATTAAAACTTATTACACTTATTACAGTACAAGTATATATTTTTTAGATTCCCCAATCAGCAAAGCTCAACTTTAAGTCGAATATTACTCCAGAGCCGCTGGTCTACCCAAATATTTCAGTTAGAAATGTGTACATATTTCCTGGAATACCTGAATTAATGATGAAGACGTTTAGTTCAGTAAAAGCAACAATATTTCAATCCAAAGAACAGTTTTTCACAAAATGTTTGTACTTGAAAAGTAAAGAGTCTGACGTTGTGCAGATATTGAACAAAATGGTACAAGAATTTCCTGATGTGCAGTTTGGATCTTATCCTAAATTATTTAATAGGTAAGCTCTTTTGATACTGATGTAGATATAAATTTAGATGGTTTAGTTTATAAATAGTGAACGGTTCTTGTAAATTTGTTTCATTGTGTTCGCATACTAAAAAGTATTCGAATGTAAGATAATGAGGTATCTGATATGTCAAACTAGATTTTTGTTGATAGCTCATCTTTCTGGGTCAAACTTTCTGGGTGTGGTCATTGTTCAAGTGGATAATAGTGTCCACTGATTTTAAATGCATTGGGAAATGCATTGTATATTGAAATTATGCAAAATCAATTTTATTCTATTCTAGAAAACAAACTGGAAGGCTGGAAAAGGAAGGCTGTCAAGTGTTCCTACAAGTTCCCAATTTGGTTCTCAATAAAACTTAAAGATCTTATTATTCAAAAGAAAAAAACTCATCTGAGATTTAAATTATCTAAATCAAATGAGGACTACTTATTGTTCTCTAATCTGCGTGATCAATGTAAAGTTGAACATAAACTTTGTCAAAAACAGCATTTTTCGTCTCTTGAATAAAAACTTAGTAATAACCCCAGGGAATTTTGGGGATACATTGGCAGACTTCGTAAATCTTCAAGTTACCCACAAGAACTGTATCTTGATAACAGAAGGGCACAGGGCAATATCGAAATTGTTAACCTTTTTGCTGAGTTCTTCTCTGGTGTATATGAGAAAGATAAAGGTGCTCCCATTCCAGATTTTGACAACTGTGTTAGACACATTGACTCTGTAAACCTAATTCAAGTTGACACTATATCAGTGTTTGATGAACTAAGAAAAGTTCCAAACAAATTCTCCTCGGGGCCTGATGGAATCCCACCAGTATTATTAAAGCGCTGTCTATGCTCTCTTACTATGCCCCTAAAATATCTTTATAATTTATCTCTTATGACTGGTGGGAATTTGTATACAGTCAGCAATCCCAAATCTTCGTGACAAACTAGTGACTTCTCACTTATCAAAACTAAAAAATAATATAATAATACCCCAACAGTATGGCTTTCAAAGGGGTAGGACCACAGTGTCAAACTTGTTGGTCTACCAAGATGATATATTGGGTGCCTTTGAGAGGAAGTACCAGGTGGACAGCATCTATACTGACTTCTCAACAGCATTAGATAAAGTAAATCATCGTTATTTAATCAGTAAATTAGAAGCCATTGGTATAGCTGGAAAATGGCTTGATTGGTATGATAGTTTTCTTGTGGGTAACACCCAGAGTATTAAGATAAATGGTGTGTTGTCTCAATCTATTGACATCCTCGCTGGAGTACTACAGGGGTCACATTGTGGTCCTCTACTTTTTGTCCTCTTTGTTAACGATGTTGAGAAAATCATTAAGTATTCAAAATTTCTCAACTTTTCTGATGATAAAAAAATCTATAAAGTCATTACTTGTCAGTATGATCAAATTCAGCTACAAGAGGATATCAGCAGATTTAGCGATTGGTGCAAACCAAATGAATTAATATTGAACATTGATAAGTGTTGTGTTATTACTTTTCACAGGAAACAAACAATTTTAAATTACGATTATAGCATTGATAACACTCAGCTGTCTAGACAGGACTGTATTAAGGATTTAGGTGTTTATTTTGTTTGTAAATTAGCATTTCGTAAGCATCTAGAGGTCACAGTAAACAGTGCATTTAAACAATTAGGGTTTATAACTATAGTAAAATTCATTAAGCGGTGCAGGAAAATATAAACATTAAATCGTGTCCGAACCGGTATGAACCGCCGATAACATCGCCAGACGAAATAAAGATGGACATTCCGGTTAGTTTTAAATATTTTTGAAGAACTGTTACTTGCATTTATGCATAAAATATTCATTAATTTTATAAATCGGAGTATTTTTTAACTTACTTTGTATTCAGTGATAACATTAATTTATTTACTATGCAATAAACACGAATATTTGAGAAAAGAAAAAAAAATAATAAAGTGTCATAATTATACTGTTACTTATCGGAACGAGTAGATTCATTTGGAACATCTTTAACAATTATCTGTTAAATTTATCGTTGTTTATATGCCCTGCACCGCTTAATGGAATAAGGTATAGAAACACTTCTCAATTTTCATGTTTTGTTTTACCAATTCTTTTTAATAGTCTTATTCACTCCAGACTAGAATATGCAATAGTTGTATGGGGACCTTACTATCAAACATCTATAGAAAAGCTTGATCATGTTCAGCATAAATTTGGTAAACACTGTCATTAATGTAGTGTCTCTCTCTCTCTCTCTCTCTCTCTCTCTCTCTGTCCCATACAGTTATAGTATGATAGCTGATCACTTGAAACTGGTTTCTATGAATCAGCGAAAAGATTATTTTTGCCTATTATTCCTTTACAAAATTGTTAATAATTTGATAAATTGCCCTGAACTTTTAAATCGATTAGGTCTTAACACTCTTCATGGAACTAGGCATACTTCATTATTTCATCTACCATTTCATCAATTTAATTATGAATACTTCAGGCCTCTTACTCATATGGTGAGACTATATAATAGGTACCAAAGTGATCTGGACTTATTTTTCCAGTCCTTAGAACAATTTAAAAATGTGATAAAGAGACTGCTATTTGTGTGATATTAGTTTGTATTTAAGTTAATTATTAGTTTTTGTTAAACTTACTAATTATTTTCCAATGTTATGCTTACTTTGTAAAATTTTATATATTATATATTGTTCCAATGTAAATGGTATATCCGTTAATAAATAAATAAATAAATAAACTTGACATGTTGAATGAGCTGACCAAGAAATGTTGGATTACGGGTAATATTAATGTGGACTATAAAGACTGAGTTAAGTGTGAGTTACTTCAACTACTGGCAAAATCTGAGACAGCCTCAACATTTTATATGATCAAATAATGAAAACCTTCCAAAGAAACCCCTTACAAGTTAAACTAAAAAATTATTCTCGAAAAAATATTGCCCCTATTTGATGCACTATTCTGCCCAGGTGTTTTGAAGGACAGAACAGCGAGCTTTAGGAAATGGGTATATAAATCTAGTATGTATGTATTAGAACTTACATTTAACTTTTTCTGAACAATTTATATTAAGATACAATTACACACTTACCTTATATGGTCGCTCTACATTCCTGCAGAATTATCGTATTATGTTCCAAAAGAAAGGTAGATTATGAGAAAGTAATAAATAAATAATTGCTACTGATTAACAACTTTTATTTCTAATATGGGTAGAAAATCTAGCCAAGTAAAAGTTAGATCATTGTATTTGACAAAGAATACTTTCATTTGGTGTTTAAGTATATGAGGTGTCTTCTGAACAATCAAATTAATATTCCTTAATGCCATGTACTGCACTTCTAGTTCAGAACTAAGCAATGTAACCAAAGGAGGAGCTAGTTTCTTGCTTAAAGTATTGCAGAAATCAGTATCTCCAGCCAGCTGCAACTGGTATTTCTTTTAGCTGTTCTAAAAAGGTTGATACTCTACCAAACCAGATGAAATGTGATACAATTTGGCAACACAAACAGCTGCTGACAGCAAGTGCTCTTATTAGTGGATTGGGATCTTCACAGTCCTTTATTAAAGTATTTACTGCCATAATAGCCATGTCAGGTTGACATTTACCATAGGTAGTTCATTAAATATAATTAAACTAGCTTTTTAAGCTCTAAATTATCAGTCTGCATGCAGTTTACTACACCTGGAAAGAAAGCTAAAATATCTTTGCCTACTGTCATAGAAGCAATAACCTTTTTAACAACTTCTTTTTTCTTTTCCTCTTTATCATTGTTTAGCTTTGACTTTTACTCAAATATTTCTCCCATTTTGGTAGTAGTAAAATATTTTGAGTCAGTCATTACTGGGTACAGTAGAAATGTAATGATACTCGAATTAAATAGTGAACATAAACAACAATGTCAAGACATTATCTCAGTTATTAGCATATCATGGTATGTAGGTATATAACAACTTATTGTCTACTAAAATATTCCTACAAATATAGCCGAACAAAAATTATAGGAATTAGTGATTACTAGAGTACTGAACATACAAAATTTTGGGTTGTACATAGAAAAACAGAGGTCATTCTGGAATGTGAAAAGATTGCACTAAGTACATATGACTACAATAAAAATAATGATAGGTATATTTCTTTTTTCACTATTAGAAAATATTCAACATTGTGTTTGAATCAGATTTAGCAAGTTTTAAATAAAGTTAAAAAACTTTATATCAGGCATTTATATTTTATCCAGTAACCACTTATATTGTTTTATTTCATTTTTGTTCTGCTTCATTCTCCTCAATTCACCTCAATTTCTACTACTTTACTGTTTATTAATGTCGACAGCTATTATCAGACATTTCTGGTAACTTTATTTCCCTGCTTTACCAGCAAATTATAAGAGCTGCCCAACAAATAAACATTTCTGCTTCCTAACGCACAAGTCTCCTTACTCTCTCCTGTCCCAGAGAAAAGTGAGTAATCAAAAGTGTCCTTTCGGCAACGACACACACTCTCAGGGTCGCCAAGTTTCCTGTTTTTCTAATGCCTATTTCAAAACAAAACATTTGTCAATCCTTCAAAACTCAGCCAATATTCTTAAAATCTCTGTAGGTGGAATAAGGAAAAAAACGGATTGAAAAAAGACAGTAAATAGTTCTCCCCATTGAAAACAACTTGCTGCTATAACAAACACTTTTGACATAGATTACACTACTATTTTTAAACCCAAAAAATATGAACCATATCGATTTTTGTGACTTACTTTGTAAACAAGAAAATGCTACAGTAAAATAATATTTAATTTATAATATCTTCTATTATCTCCTCTATAATAATATCTTTTGTTTTAGTCGGTATCAGGTTAAATTAACGGTGGAGTCAGTTAGTGAGAAAAGCACAAAAATGGCATACGAAACACTAGTGAAACTACTTCCTAGGGAATCTATTGTGGATAATAATGACATAGATGAAATGTAACGATCAGTGGATACTTTCTGATTTTATTTATTTGTAACATTTGTTTTTAAATTTTAAGGAAAAAAGTCAAAAATAAAATTAATGCAGAGTTACTTTTTTATGTGTTTTATTTTTTCCCATAACTTCCTCAATTATAAATATAATAAATACTTCTTTATAGGTATATTAGATTCTTGCACATAGTTGTCATATTGTCAGGAGTGTCTATAGATTGGTCTCATGGACTAGTAGCACTGAATAAATGTTTGATGAACATTAACTGTAAAGAAGAATTAGTCAAATTCACTTTGGAAAAAGGAAAACAACAACTTACTACCATTTCTGGATATATTATCACAAAAGTGAATGAAGAATATGTAATCAAGTCTACAGAAAACTAAGTTTGTTCTTGACCGATTTCTAAATTGTTTTCTTTGAACTGTTAGATCCAGAGAATCAAGAAATATAATATCTGACGAATGTACTCAATCTGTTGTATCAGGTACACAAAGAAGGTTAGACTTATGATCGATTCGGTGTGTTCCATACCAGAATTGCGAATGATTGAGCAATATAGTATATAGGGTAATTCTTAAGAATATCAGAAGCCCTAAGCAATGCAGAAACCGTGTCACGATCCCCTGCTGAAGACCGTTTGTTAAAGCTTTCCGCCCTAAACAAAGATTTGTAACAATCTGACTTAACAAGAGGGATTCAAATAAGTCTGGAAATAGTGCGAGGATGTATTCTATTGTCAATATGACCGAAACAGATTCAGAATGAAGTTTGTTGATTACCTCACAATCGGAAATCTTTACAGAATCAGCCATGTTTTAGTCGGAACCAGTGCTGTTCAGTGACATTTTATCTGGTGTGCATAGACAAGTTAACCCGGTTTAATTTATTTACGGCAATTACAGACATAATATGCAATTTTATTCGTACTTTTAGTTGAAGAATTGATTAAATTATTTCAAATGTACTACATTTTTAATTTCTAAAAATCTAATTTACATTTCTGTCGTAGCTTGTCACAAATTTCTCAATTCTTGTCTATGTTTCCGTCTAAAACATGGCGTTCGCGTGCTGACAAACTTCAAAGGCGGCATCTGAGAGTGGGCATTCTGATTGTTATTTATTCTGTGCCATATCTATTAAAATTTTTAAGAAAATATAGAACTATATACTAAAAAGTACCAATTTTATTAAAAATACTAGTATAATAATAATGTTAATAATGTTATTGTACGAACATTTTTGGGAGATACTCCAGCATACCAGTCACCTAGGGCTTGACAACACGGAAAGTGTCCCACGAGATAAAGTCACCTAGGGCTTGATAACACGGAAAGTGTCCCACGAGGGCACAATCCTTTTGATACGGTAGGCACCTGGGACGAGTGAGTTTTCCCCTTAGAGGTAGTGTGGGCTGTAAGGGTAAATCTGGATAATAATGTTGTTATGTGATAATAACATAGTGACTATCATAGATAAATAATAATTATAATTGTAGAAATAGATAGGCAACTCAATGTATAAATTTCGTTCATTAGGCCCCTTGCGGCTGGGGTCAATACTAATCATCTTTTGGCGGCAAATTCGAATGAACACCTCTTACATACATACCCTTTAGCGCCTCTTGTGGGCTATTTCGTTACTAATTAAAATTAGGATATAAGATGCACAATTTTTTCTAGATATACGTATATTTATTTGTTGTTTAAGATAAAACAGTTATAAAATAATTACATAATATTTATTACACATATAAAAGGTATAAAATTGCAGAATCCATAAAATAATATGATAAAAATGTACCTTTTAAAAGCTTTATCTCTTTATATTTGAAGCATATAAGATATACATTATAATAACTTGGCAACACTGCCAACGCAATATTTCGTTCTGTGAAACTTAATTGACAGCCAACTTGAGGCTATCTTCAATGGGACCAAATGTGAAAATCGTCCCAGAAGTTAAATATGTACGATTATTTTTTGCTTCCTGACAACTTACTATCATTCTTTTTGTAATTTTTCCATGATTTGTACACAACGAACAATACAATAATTCACCATGTTTAGTTTTGTTACCAGCACAACACAAAAATTCTTTGCTACAATAGGTAACTCAAAATAAACTTTAAAAATTAAGGGGCATTTCGCAATTGCGGGCACTCTAACCCATGATATAACGAAACAAGGTATGCTCACTAGGTGGACTCGTTTTTGCACATTTCTGCGCCGACCAAAATCCACCATCTTTTCAATATGTCCGTGCGTGTAGGGATGGTGACCTGATCCCGTACCAGTTACTTTGGAACATGTATTTTATTTATACTTGTGGAACTGATCCCTAACACCAATATATTATAATAAATGAGTACGGGATTCATTGCATTTGTCCTTAATATTTTATCGTGCATTTCTCAACGTTTACAAAGCTGTAGATAAATATCAACAGATGACAATTGGCGTGAAGTAGACAAAACTATCGCCATTTTTTTATGAACTTTTTATACAATCTCTGAATAACAGTAATTTAAGTATTTGAAGTTAAACAGTCATTTAAATAACTATAAAGAAATCTAACAAAATACAAATAATGTTGTCGTTATGTTTAGATATCTATTAAACGAATGATAACAAACTGATTTCCAAACCAGTATTTTTTAACAGGTATATTTGTTTACGCGTATCAGTTTGACCTGATCCACAAAAATACTTGGATCAACCACCTCTACATGCTTGACGTCTGCTTTGTTTTGCATTTTTTAACCTTACTTTGCAATGTATTGGAATTTAAAAGTAAATTTGTTTCGATCTTTTTAAAATTATTTTAGCAAGAGTCTGTTCAGATCATTTTAAATCTGAATTAATTGGATTAATGTAGAATATTAATTTTATTTTATTTAATTTAACTACGATATTTTGTATCAATTTTGTACATATTTGAATTGCCGCCTTCAAAATGGCGGATTTTGGTCGTAAACGTGATTGGCTGTTCAAAATAGATGCGCGTGAGCATACCATGTTTCCTTATATCATGCTCTAACCTAACCAAATATATTTTCCCCAAGGCACTGCGTTACAGTGTTGCCGTATTTATTTTAGTAAAATATAATATAAATATATAAATATAATTTATATGTATATGAATGCTACAAATATAAATTTACTTTAATAATAATACTTGTAATAATATTTCATTGCAGTTAATATATTTATTTAAACATACTTATTAACAAAGTCTCTAGGAATCAACAATGTCCAAAAACCTATGATCTAACAATCCTGACAAGTAGTGACAACTGACAACGAGTCTCCATACATTGTGCCTAGAGCCCCGTGACCGTAATCATAACCTACTGATATGACATCTTTCCCCTTACATTTGATAATCCTTAAAACGCACTGGAGCCCTTTTGAGTCTAGCGCTAGTTCTATTTTCAGCATTCATTTGGGAGGTTGAAGGTTCCTCTACTCCACAACTCTGATTCCCAGATGAGGAGTTTAATGATCTATCATTATGTGCAAAATCAGTATTCTTCTTAATTTCCGCTTTAACTAGGGAAGGCCTTAAGTGATAACTGTTTCGCCTGATGACTTCCCCATTTTCTTTCTGCACTAAATAAGATCTGGGTGCCTCATCCACTTTTTCCAGAACTTTACCTGGTCTCCATTCTCTACCCTCTCTGACACCTACATTCTCTCCTGGCACTATTTCTCTTCTTACCTTGGTATTTCTATCATAATAATTTTTATATTCGTTTCTTTTCGCCTCTAGTTTCTCCCACTCATCCTTTAGATTTATGTCTTTGTGCTTTTTATTCGATGGTAGCTTCGATCTAAGAACCCTGTTAGTTACTAATTGGGCCGGTGTTTTATCTGTTCCATTTATTGGAGTATTGCGATACTCCAGGAGTGCCATATCTAAGTCGTCACACTTTCTAAGCATGTTTTTTGCAATTTGAACGGCTCGTTCTGCCTGCCCATTAGACCGTGGATAGCGGGGACTGGACGTTACAAACCGAAAATCCCAGTCTTTAGCAAATTGCTGACAATGCCACGAATTATAAGGCATGTTATCTGATATGACTTCGTAAGGTATTCCGTGTGTTGAAAAAATTTTCTTTAACTCCTTGATGACCACCTGAGAAGTTTTTGAATTAATTTTCACTATATCGAGCCATTTAGAAAAATAATCGATCAGAACTAGATACGACTGTCCACCATAATCTAATATATCACTTGCTACCTTTTCAAAAGGTGCTTGAGGCAACTCTCTAAGTAATAGTGGCTCTTTAGCATTGTGACTTTTAAATATCTCACACTTGCTACAATTTCTTACCCAGTCTTCTATACTTTTGTTCATTTGTGGCCAATGTAATATCTGTCTTGCTCTCTGTTGGGTTTTCTGAATGCCAAAATGACTAGAATGCAATAATCTTAGCATGCTCTCTCTCAATATTTTTGGGACTACAACTCTGTCTTTGTAAAATATTAGTCCGTCAAGTAAATATAATTCATTTCTTATATAATAATAATACCTAATTGAATTGCTTACTCTTGACAGGGTTTTGGGCCACCCTTGTATACAATATTTCTTTACTAGTTTCAGATCCTCATCAGCATCCACTTCAGTCCTAAATTGCTCTCTCTTCTCATCAGTCATGTCAATAGTATGAACTATTTCTGTAATAAATTTATCATCATCCACTTCATCTTTTATAAAATTCCTTGATAATAAATCTGCCACATGCATGAACTTGCCTGGCTTAAATTTTACCTCTATGTCATATTTAGATAATCTTACCCTAATCCTTTGTAATCTCGGCGACATTATGTCTGCAACGCCTTTATGCATTAATGCCTCCAAAGGCTTATGGTCAGAATCAATTTGCACTTTTCTTCCATAGATAAAATTGTGAAATTTATTGCATGCATATAGGATTGCCAAGAACTCCTTTTCAATTTGACTCATATTTGACTCTGCTGTCGTTAGTGCCCTAGATGCAAATGCTACTGGTCTGTTATTCTGTAAGAGACAGCACCCTAAGCCATTACTACTACTGTCAGTCTGTATCACAGTTGGTAACTTCTCATTGAAATTG